CTCTCTCTCTCTCTCAGACGAACACCAAATGCACTGACATCTTTATGAGACGATTTAAACACCCGGGTTCCCTCCCTCTTTTAACGAAACCCAAACCGATTCGAGCCTCACGACTTCTTTAGAGCAAGCCTAGGTGGATCACACGCACGCACAGATAGATGACGGGAAGGATACTGTATAATCTCCAAATACGTGGTAAATTCTAGGTGATGAAAGCTAACGTATCCAACAAAAATCGATGCAGAAGCAAGAGATAAGAAAGTGATTGCTTGTGATGCAGATCTTGTTTGCTGCCATCTTCTCCTTGGCAAGGATGGTTGGCGGTCCATATCTCACATATGTAACCTTGACAGCAGACTATCCATTGCTTATTAAGGTACACAAGTGGTGGTTGATGAACACAATTACGATCTATTATATCTTAATCTTTATGCAGAAATGGATTTGGTCTTCCTGAACCGAACGTATTACTGCTACAACCAGCGGACTTCTCATCTAGTTTCTCTGTTAATTTGGCTTCTCAGGCAATGGCATTGGGCTTGCAGCTGGTCAGTGCCTTCTGGTTCTACAAGATCCTCAGAATGGTAAGGTACAAAATAGCCAAGAGGATGGTGCCCAATAAATCTATCAAAATCTCCGTTCACTGAATCAGATGACTATTCTCAAGTTGTTGATGAAGCATTGGAGTATGGTACCACTTCAAACGCCATCAAGTTTTTGTTGTTCCTGACATCAGTGCCTTCACCGTTGCATCATAATAGGATGTTGCAAGTCTTGGCATTTCATGTTGGTAGAAACAGGTTTGAAAGTTCATGCACTATGTATGACATCGCAGTTGGAGCAATAGGCCCTTCTCACTTGAAATATTATATCACAATCTCAACAATTTGTACATTGTCCACAACCACAACTTCAGATTGCTGTTCATCAACGCTGTTTTCAACCAACAATCTCCTCATACTGGAGAAAATACCCCTCAAAAGAAAGACCGACCATGAATGAATCAATGAACAACAGTATATGTTTCTAAACCTCGAAAACTGTATCACCGGAGTGTGAAACCACACTGGAATTGATAGGGAAAATAATGGCCAGACGACGCACCGTGACGACAGCCCCCGGCCAAAGCAATAACGCTAACTGGACCCGCTCTGACAACTCCCACTGTTGAGAGGCGACCTCCGACCCCGAATGGTTGACCACGACAAGGTCGTACAATGACCTGCCCCTCGCCCATACCCTGCTACGAACCGCTCCACCACGCGACCCCAGCAGCCGCGTCAGACGCCATCAGAGGTACCCCCTCACCCCAGCAGGCGGTCAAATCAGTTAATGCTAACCTCCTCTATAAATACCCCTAAGTCCTAAGCAAAAGGGGACGCTCTCAACATACACAATACTGCTCGGAGGTTCCTCCTCCTCCTAAAACCCCCTCCGCATCTTTCGCTAACTTAATCGTCGGAGGGGTCGGGTCGAGCATCCCGACCCGACCTTGATACAGGTGCGAAGCCTTCGGAGTTCACCGCCTTTGGAGACTCAGCGGGCTCGAGGAGACTCCCCCTCCTTTGACCACCACCTTCCGGACCTGAACCGAGCCGCGACGACCTCAGGGCCACGGCTAAACAGTTACTGACCGTAACAGGAATAGAACCAAAGAAACCAAAAGAAAAGAACAGAAGCTAAAACAGATCAAACTCTTGGAAAATGGGATGTCAATGCCCCTTCTTGTTCCTCCACTTTATTAACATATCAGACATCTCAAGAACGGTGCAATCCTCTCTGCCATGTGATGGCTCCATGAACCTCAACTTGGGTAGCACGTTTTACGATGTTCTTTGCAAGCGGCTTGACGCCCTCCTTCCCATCAGGAGGTAATAAACCTGTAGATCCATTCACAACGATCTCTGTGGTGCCACCAGCAGACGTCCACTGAAATTAAGAAGGCGAAGAGTCCATCACCTTCCTAAAATTATAGGAGATACATGACAATCAAGAAATGAACGAGCACCACTAGAGGTATTCGCTAATCAATGTGTTACACTGACCTCTTGTTTCACAAGTCTTGAGTATTTTAACCATATGCCAAGAATCGATGCTAACGGATTGGTGCAATCCTCAGTGTGCTAACGCTTTAGACGCTCATAGAACGGCTACAAATCGGTGAAGCCTTTGGCCTCAACATTTAGACTGGATATGTGCAACATGGTCGGTAGAAGATTTTTGGTTATTGAAAGGAGGACCCAAAGGCAGTCGTAAAGTGACCTCAACCAAGAAATATAATTTGATTAGAATGACGGTTTAGCACTTAGTATGGCCAAGTCGAATTTTGTGCAAGATGGCTCTGTATAACGATGGAAAAAAATTCCACAATTACCTACTCAACTATCTATTTAAGCGTATGTTCTGAACATCATGATATCTTAATCTATATGGTTCTATTCGAACATCACATGGCTATTGTTTATTGTGCATTCAATTATCAACAACTGCTAGGGATTTATTTTGGGTCAATGCTAGTAAGCAGGAAGAAAATAACGAAAACGAGAAGAAAAAGAAACGGAAAGAGAGAGAAAGAGATCCTGAGAAAACAGAGCTTGTTTTGTTCGAATCTCTAGTTTTTCTTGTTCGTCGTCGTCCACCTTTCTTCTCTGGAGAACCACAGTGTATGTCAAAGCAGCAGGTTCAGTCATTTACGTTGATTCAACTGCTCACTCGCGGATGAACAAAAGGTTCGGAAGCTAGTGGTTGCTGGGCTCAGTCAAATAAAGGTTACTTGTCGGGTGATCGAACACGGTCTCGTCAGCCCACGAGGCTCAGTTGGTACTCTGTTTGCATGGCTTTACAGGCTCATTGGAGGCCGATTGCGTTCGTCCAATCACATGATCCTCGGCTTGTTTCATCTGTAACACTTAATGCCATTTAATTGCCTATATTGGCCAGCTAATCAAGTTGCGCGACTTCAGTTTTCGAATCATAACCAATATTTTTCTCGCTGACGTTTACATGAGCTTCACAAGTCTTACTATATATGACAATAATTTTGTTAAAATTATTAAAATGTAATTAACAACCAATGCAGTTTAGAATCAATGGGATTGATACTACATATACCGACGACACACACCCTCAGGTAGCGACCTGCAGCCACATCATCATCAAGCGGCCTGCGGAGCCAAGGTGGTAGACTGCGTTAGCACAATAGGTTGGATTCAGATCGATGCTCGGGGCGACGTCGCTCGACACTGACCTGTACGATGTCGTCTCAAAAAGCTCTGGACATCGCTGTAAGGTACGTGGCTCCCCTAGAAAGCTTGGGGCAATGTCGCTCGATGCTAATCCGTGCGGGTCGATCGGTGCTCACTTGTGAAGTATGGGTTGGTCGCCCTAACGATCGACGATCTTTAATGGATCGAGATAAAAGGCTAACTTAATCTTCAGAGGGGTCGGGTCAGGAAATCTCCTGATCCCAACCTACGTGCAGGGCTCCGACAAGCACGCGACAAGGCATCATATACGAGAAGAATAACACCCACCTCTGCTTCCCAAGTGCTGGACCGGGCAATCTTGAAAGTTCAACACCCACCTTTGTTACCCCGGCATCCGATTGAGCAAACTTGCATATCTAAAGTTGAACCTAGCCACGCTGACTCCCCGAGCACGACATAAATAGACCCTAACAGGGATCATTTGAACTTAACGTACTAATAATATACGGGGAATGTTGTTTGACACATGGGCCATACATATGGCATATGAGATTATGTTACGAAAAATAAAAGCAGAGAGGCTTCGCGGTTTGCACTCACAGTAACCGCGCAACGCATCATCATTAGAAACAGATAAATAAAAAAGAAAAAGAGGGGGAGAGAGAGAGAAAGCCAAGGGAAAACTTTCGAACTTATTTATTCTTACTTTTGGGACTCCCAACTGTGTTAGCATTCAAGTGGCATCTCATTCTCTGGTTCCACCGCAGCTCTCACTGATCACTATGGACGACTTCAGCTACAAAATGATAGTTAGCTTAGACTTTGAGCTTTGTGAAAAGGGAAGCCTATCACGATATAAAATCTGGGGTTTCGTTCTCGATTTTGTCAATCCCGCTGTGAGCACTCATCTTCCGTGCTTATTTTGGTGAAAAGAAGCAAAAGAGCAGCATGGGAGTCCCAATACTTTTAAGGAGTGCCTCTTCGACACCCCTAGGAGTCTCGTGATACATTGGCAGAGTTGAATGGCACGGCACAGCCCAGATCTTGAGTTGGATCCAATATTCCATGACTCACTAGACTGCGCACTTTTGCAATACGCCGCCAACACATGGTCGCCATGCGATGGCCAACAACTGTTCGTTTACTCCATCATGCATGGACGCCTCGATCGAGAGCGCCGGATGCATGACTGACACTACCGTGGGTCCCAAAAATTTTGGATTCAAAGCCAAATCATTTTTTGGTGGGCTCACCTCTAGGCTTGCAGTTGCTTTCTCCGCCTGGGAAACTCGTTTCACGTTTCCAGGACTTGGGGGGGGGGGGGGGGGGGGAATCGACTCGGGAAAGAAGCTCGCTTCTTCTCCTCGGAAGTGCTTCTTTCTTCCCCGTTAATATATAGATTTATTATATGTAGTTACAATGACCAATGAAGATGAAATGAATCGCCGTATATACGTTGGAGATGTGTTCATGATATTTTACTTCATAAGTTACCCTTCTTCAATTTCTGACGTACGTTAGTCGTCGTGACTGTGGTGAGTGAATCATCACGTAAGCATCGCTAACCACAAATGTGGAGGCAAGGAGTGGACTGGGAAGATACGCATTCCAAGCGGCGCCCTTTTGGTTGATTGATGTGATCGGCGCCACTATTCTCATCTAGTATAAAACGAGCTTTGATGAGTGTGCAAGGCCCCATGGGCGGGTAACGAAAGATGCAGTAGCCCCCTTGTTCCTATAGCTTCTGCTACGTCGTCTTCTTCTGAAACAGGTGAAGAACTAGTAACTGGACATGACCGATCTTACTTTTTAACCAGGCCAGGGTAACTCCAAGTCCTGGTCGCGAGTCCGCGCATCCTAGTGGAAGTGACCTTTGGATGCAAGCATCCCCACAGTGCATGAACAAAGGTCGGAAAGGCTGCTCACATGCTTCCTCACTTGGCCAACTGTTAACAACAGATGAGTCCGGGCGGTGGACAGCGATCAGACAGACGTCACGGGGCCTACGGTCGAGGTACGCACGGTGAGTAGACCAGGCTATGCCTATGCCTTGGAAGGAGCATGCATGTGGGTGGGTCATAACGTTGCGTCCGAGCTGAGATCCATCGATGGAGTGGCCTTGTAGCTAGGTCATAGGTGTGAGCCGGGGGGTGGAACATTTGCAGTAGGGAAAACGTATGTTGTTGTTGTGGTGGTGAAAATTTTAGGTGGGAGATGAGGATCGTCCTAGTTCTTGACGAAGGCAGATCAAGGGTCTGAAAGAGATCAAAAGCAACCAAATGTCTCGATTCCTGGTTGCTAAACTCGAGCAATACGTACGTCAAAGATTAGGTGATAAACTGTGGCCACGCATAATACGGGAAGCTACCATGCATCAATCAGTACAACGATTTCGTTTCACCAACGCTACGACAGAGGTTTCGTATCTTTCGTCTGATGATATCCTGAAAGATACGGTTCATCTCAAGAATGTTCTTCGTTGCCTAACACATCTAAAGCTGACCTCTCCGAATTGGCTCTAGAATCATTACCAGTTTCGTGGTGTGATCTCAGCAGTTTTATGTAAAACGATAATGCTTTAGTTTAGTTTCACTAAAAAGAATAAATACATCACTAAAGCGTATGCGTATGAGCTGTATAAACGAGGCTTGTAATCATATGTATGGATGCAAGGTAATAAGCCTTTTATCTTCCCTGAACTTTAAAGGGTAGGGTACCGAACGGGTGCAATGAATTCCCTGTGAACATAGGAATCAGAACATATGATGGTGTTGATCAAATATATCCCCCACTTCTTTTGAAAACCATATGATGTCAACAAAAAATTGGTCAAAGATGAAGTACTTAAGCCTCTTTTGGACATTCCAATTGCCGCTCCACAATGTGCTTTCGAGCAGAAAGACGGATACGAGTGATTTTTGTTATTGCACAAAAGAAAAAAAAGGAATCCGAGAAAGATCGACTTTAAAAAGACATCTGATAAGATGCGTTAGACCGGCCACCTTTTTACGTATTGCGCATGATCAGAGAAGTTCTTGAAGAGTAATGGAAGAGAAGTTTACGAGAAAGCAAGCAAGTATAAATGGAGACGTACGAGATTGGATTGTTTTATTGTGATCAAGGGCTCGATGGGTGGTGGTATTATCGGGTATAATAGTCTCTCAACGTTTCTGCAAATATGTAGTAGGCAGGCGATCTGATCTGATTGAAGGAATACAGAATTCAAGTTTTGTAGTATGTGCCCCAAACATACTCGACATGAAAATTTTACACTCGAATACTTTAAGATGGCAACATGGTTTGGAATTAATTGTGGGAAATTTTGTATTAGCTCCAAAGGGATACCTCAACCAATCAGTTTCTTTTTTTCTTTTTATTATTACATGCAAAACTTTTCCAATCAAATTCTTTGAACGTGGGTTAGCTCCCAACAGCTGATTGGGCTTACGCTAGCAACTTAGAAAGCCTAATTCATATTTTTAGAATGATGATTAAGTCAGTCAAGAATTTTTGGAATGATAAGTGAAAAAAAGTTGGAGAGGATTTTTTTTTCTTCTTCTTGATTTTCTTTATTTCTATAGTGCCATACCATAATATTGTCTAGATGTATACATGCATCACATTTAATTTGCTCTCATGATTAATCATCACAAATCTATCTATCTATCTATAACATTCGAGTTAATTATATATTATTCTCTGTAATTAATTACCTTTAGCATTTCGATCCTTATAGTTTTAAAAATTATATTGAAATCTTTATATTTACAAAACGAACTTTTAAAAATTTAAAAACTAAGATGTTAAGGATAACTAATTATAGGAAATAATATGTAATTAGCTTATAATGCTCTCTTCTATCGCACAACTTTCCGATAATAAATAGGTCAGCAATCATTCCTAAATTTGAATAATGAAGCCAACTCTCAGCTAGGCTACAGATGCTACGCAGTAGTGCATGGAGAATTGATGAGAACAGTTTTCTTGAACAGACTATAGGACAGACTCTTTGGCGATGAATGACCTCACCGTAGGCCGTCTTGGAAAGTTGGATAGAATGACGAGAGAGAGAGAGAGAGAGAGAGATGAAGATGGACCATAATTAAGCTCGTG